CGAAATCGAAACTCGTCTTCTTCGGGTACAAAACTGACAGGGAGTTCCTGATGTAAAGTAGTTAGACCATTGACTGATGCGAGTCCTTTGGCTTCCTCTGCGGCACGTACTCCCACCTAGAATAAGCTGGGAGCGACTTCTCCCTAGATGGTATGCAATTCCGTATCACCTTTCACTGTTCACTAGAACTCTGATTCTTTTTAACCTCATTCTGGACATACTCCTTCTCCGCTTCGCGTAACACCCTCTTAACGTCATTACGACAGTCCCGATAATACTGCCAATCCCCAAGAGCACCCGTCTCTCGCGCGATTCTGTGAGCTTGATCTCTTTTTGCCATTTTCTCTTTGATCTCTTCATTTACAAATAGACATCTCCGATGTTTGATTTTAATTTTCTTAATAGGTGCATGATTATCCAGAACCCGGAAAAAGGCTTTATTGAAATGAAGCAGTTTCTCACTTACATCGTCGGACAAAATGTTTTCATACCGAGGGATCTTGTTACGGTCGCTCAAAAAGCTCTGAGGATCGTAGTACTTATAGCTCCTAGCGACAAAATAAGCAGCCGGTGGCTTGGGCATCCTTAGATTTAACGCAGCAAAAACTAAAAAGTGATCGCTTTTGAGCTTCGGATTGTTAGCATAGGATTCAAAAATGGCCGCATACCAGGAGTTTCTAAAGCACATTTACTGGAATTTTATGGAGTCCGCCATCTCAGGGATTGGAATATGGCTCAATTTGTGAGTCAGTGCCAGTAATGAATTAGGTAAGCCGTACTTTTCACAAAATCTGCTTGAGATAGATCCGTTACGCTAAATCTGAAAATATCGTATTAGCTCGCATACGCGTTGATACAAACGGTCATAACTTTTAAAATACTGAAATCGTACATGGGGTTTTGTATATTATTAATAACAGATGGTCTATCTTTGCATCTGTTTAGTCTAGAGCTTTCAACTAAGTCCCAAACGTCAGAAATAAGCTTTTAAAACAGGCTCATTTTGGCCTTTCGCTCCAAGGCAATTAGTTGTGGTCATATTTTGCTTGATTTCGTCTTTCCAGCTAAATTTAGCGGATAACTATTATCTTCAGGAAAAACTAGAGATGTTTACCTATAAATAGGTATAAAATTGATTGGTAGATGGTGCAAATCAAACATTTTACAGCGCCGCAAAAACTGCCAAATGTTTGAGGCCTCAAATGTAATAAATGACCCGAAATGTAATAAAGGTCCTAAGTGTAATAACTTTTGGCCCTAAATGTAATAAAGGGTCTAATTATATCTGTAATAGGTTTTAGCCTTAAATATAATGGAAGTCTTAACAGTATACATGTATGTAGTATAACAGCCCCAAGCTTGATAAAGTCCCTTACTGAAACATGCGACGATATTAATGTTATAGCCAGCTGGCGATTCACTTTCTTCGCCCTATTGTAGTCTTCATTACCCTGGTCCCAGAGGTTTTTCTTGATTTTTCTTCGCGAAAGAGATCAACAGCATCCCGCGAAGCAGCGACAACGAGTCGCGTAAGCGACGAGGAGAGAGAGAAAAACCTCTGGTTACCTTGGCCTCGAATCTCACTTTCATGCAGACGACAGCTGTCAAACGCGTCAAATTGCTAATAAAAAGAGTGACCAATGGCAACTTAGCAAACACGTGCTTATCAGCCGCTATTTTTTTAAGTGGGGGTAGACCTGGGGAAATTATGTTATGAACAAACCATCTTCACTTGGGTGGTAAAGAGTGATTTGTTAATCGGGGTCAAGCTAAAGCATGTGTTAACGATGGGCGACAAGAGTCCAGGAATAAGAAGACCACTTTATAAAGAAACCGACATTGTTCCAAACGAATGCTGCAGGATTTGCAGAATTTATTTGGGTATAATAACAAGGATTTTTCACAAACATTGTCATCTGTTCTGTCAGCAGTGTGCCAGGGGGAAGTTGTAAAGTTTGCAAGAGTCTATCAATCGCGCTTATTACATTGTTTACTTCTGCGGGGCGCGCCGTTCGCGTCGATTCGCGGGCATTCCCCTGAAAATAGTAATATTAATATGTATTCTGGCAATCTGGCTCGCATTTTGGTTTGGTGGCTCCATTTCCTTTTTTTGTGGAACAACGACGCTAGGAAGAGTCATGCAGCACAACAAACCCTTAAGGTTCGGAATGTACTTTCAGAGGTTTTTGTTGGTCCAATAGACCTATTCGGCTAACTCAATGTACCGAATTCAAACCCTTTGAGAATAAAACGTTTTGTTTCAGGAATTTCCATATCATTTAAATGTGAATGCCACATTATAATGCAAATGCAATACACAAAGAATCTTATCCCCGGGAGATTTGGATTGGGTAGAACATTGAGTTAGCCGAATAGGTCTATGCCAAAAATAGCGTCGGTTAGATCTTTTTTGGGCGTCGCAGGAAAATCAAGCTGCACCCGAAAATGATTATGTACTTGTACAAAGTTGTATGTTTTTTTTCCTACAAGGAAACTTTCA